AAAAAAAAAAACGGTAACCTGGTTGCCGAGTTCACGAAGTGAATTGGCTTGTTTTACAACGTCTTTGCCAAGCGACGAAAACCCAATCCCGATGGCAAACACCGGGGGGGGCGGCTTGTTTTACAACGTCGTTGCCAAGCGACGAAAACCCAACCCCGATGGCAATCACCGGGGCAACCACGGGGGGAGCCAACGTGATTCCGCCAACACACGCGGAGGGAGAGCTCGCGAGCGAGCCTCTCTCCTTGCGGGGCGTCAGGAGGCCCAGCGTCGAGACGCCGGGCTCCACAGGGGGGGGGGGTGATGAACCATGATCATCTTACCTAGAGTAAGAAATACAAGATGTTCGCAGAAAACCACAGACATGACGGAGAGAGAGAGAGAGAGAGAGAGAGAGAGAGAGACAGAGAGAGAGACAGAGAGAGAGAGAGAGAGAGACAGACCGACCGACAGACAAACAGATAGAGTGACAGAGAGAGACACACAGATAGACACATGCAGAGGGTTGCTGCTGACTTCATGACAAGAGAAGTATTTCGACGTCCATGCAACGTACCGTCCAAGGCCTACACACGGATTGACCGACACACATGTCTCCGTGGCCACATAATCAGCAAAAATCACCTGCCGCCATCGATTTTCTCATCCTCGCAAGTAGCCTCGAAGTCGAGGACGGCATACACGTCCACCGGGGGGTCCGTTGCACCCCTTCTAGCATCCCTTCCGCCCGACTTCGCTGGTGCCTCGTTCCGTCTGCCCCCAATCGCCCCCCCTCCCCGGCTCGGTTCCTCTGCCCCAGCCGTGAGGCCCCCTCCACCGCCGTTGCACGTCATTTCGGCGGTGGCGTCGTCATTGAACATCCACCCGCTTCTTGGTCGCAGCTGCCTTGATGCCGCCGCCTTGGTCGGTCCTCCGTCCCCCTTCCCCGGTGGCAGCGGCGTGGGATTCCTCGGAGTTGCATCATGCTTGTCAGGCGTTACGGTCTTCGAAGCGTCTTCGTCCACGGTAGCAGTAGCGCCGTCAACGCGGGAGAAGTACCTTGGCTCCAGGGTGCCGTTCTTGCCGGCTGTCATTAAAGTGTGCCCGACGGGCCGAAACGGTGCGTAGGTTGCCGAGGTCGTTGTTAAATGTCGTCCAACATTTGTTGCCGTTATCGTTTGTTATCATCATCGTTCTTCGTCGTCGTTTTGGGTGTTCGGGTAGTGTGGGCGAGGATCAGGCTGCGACACGGGTCATCAGAGGGAGAGAGAGGGAGGGAGAGCGAGAGAGAGCGAGAGAGAGAGAGAGAGAGAGAGAGAGAGAGAGAGAGAGAGAGAGAGAGAGAGACATATACCGAGAAAGATAGACAGGGAGAGCAGACAGGCAAAACAGACAAGATAATTGTCTTATCATTGCCGTCACTGTTGTTCGTCGCCATCGATTGTTGTCATCGTTTTCTTTTGTGTTCGTTTGTCGTCGCCATCGTGCGCGCCCGAACGCGTAGAAAATAAACCAACGTAAGCCCATATTTGGCAACCAAATCTTGCCGTTCAGTTGATGAAATCACACCTATTTGCGCTGCAGTAATCCCACGGCTACAGCTAAGGAGTGTTGGTAAGGCTTGAAACGAGCGTGGACCGGAGTCTGACTCAACACATCAATGCGTCGGCGACAAGTTGGAAATCTGCTACAGATAACAATATGCGTACTTGCTTGTAAAGGCGTGTTGCGGTCGATCTTACAGGATAGGATAACGTTGTTGCTGGACCGGAAGAAGACGACTCCGTCCAACATCGCCGCGGCCACGTCCACGTAAATCAACACCTGTACACCAAGCAAGCGAAGTGGCAGCCCAGCAGCGGCAGCGAGAGGCACCACTTGAGTACGTTAGGGTTAAGGATAGTTGAGTACTTCAAGGTTCGGGATCAGCGAGAGGCATAACTTGAGCACGTTAAGGTTAGGGCTAGCTTGAGTACGTCAGGATTAGGGACAGCTGCCACCATCCATTTAGCCCTGTCGGATTCCACGGTACGAGGTAAACTTCTTTGACAGCAACAAGGGACGGGATGAAGCAAGCAGTGACCGGCAACGACTAAATGACACAGCGTTGGAGAAAACAAAAGTGGGCTCTCGCTCTTGACCACAACAAGAAGCGAAGGCCAACACTTGAGAGTTGAATGGGTGGAGTGAAAGCTATGAAATTTCGTAGGTTACACATGATATCACATCCTCTGGACCGATTTTCGAAGCACGATTGCTCCACAGCAGAACGAGTGGTAGTGCCGAAAATGGCGACCTTGGAATCGTCTCGTCGAGAGCTTTCCGAAACCCACTTATTTGACCGTGCCATCATCTTCGTCGTGGAGTAGTGAAATTCGGTCCTAGGGTGCGTGATATCTTATGCCAGCTACGGCGCGGGGTGGATACAGTATCGACGGCCTTACGCCCCACCTTGCAGGCCTTGCGCATGCCGCTGATTACCCCGCTTGCTCCGGGCAGCCCCGCCGCGAAGTGTATGTGTGTCCGGTTCATGCAACGAAGCCCCTCCTCTCGGATGCTGTGGACCGAGACACACACGTCCGCAGGCAGACCGGCGGCGAAACATGGTCAGTCAATGTGGAGATCCCCTCCATACAGGGCACCCTTCACATAGGGTACACTGATATAGAATACCCTCAAATAGAGTACCCTTTATATCAACATAGGGTACCCTTCATATAGGGTACCTTCACGTAGGGTACGATCTCCCAACGCATGTCGAAGACGATCCATCCCTCTTTTCACGTCAGCGACGACGAAGAGATTCGAACTCTCGCGGGCATAATAGCCCAGCGGCTTAGCGACGAGGACGGGTTCCTCTTTGGACGTCAACATCGAACGCACAGCTGTATAGTAGAACTACGTACCGGAGGGCTCCAACCCACTGACCTACCCTCACCGCCCTGGCATCGATCGTCCAGCAAGCCCTTCAGTCCAAGCCTGCGAAAGGTAACCTCCACGTCGGTTGCCTACCCTTTACAAAACTGCTTTTGTGTCCCCTGGTGGTCTAGCAACGATACTTTTGGCGGTTGTTTCCTTGTATCCTGCTAGACTATAATAGTAACGATATTTCGCGATTGTTGGGGGGGGATTGCCCTGGGGTCTCTTGTTTTCTTTTGATTGGACTTACTCTTGGGGGTAAACCTAACTAACTATCGAAGTCCGACACTGATCTCGGGGACGTATCCAAACGACCCCCCCCCCTTCATGCGACTCGCCGAATGTCTCACGGCGCTTCGCGCTTGGTGATGTGAGAGCCTGGTCCGGTGAGAACCCGGCGTGCTCCGTCCCGGCTTTGTAGGGATGCGAGGTCAATGGTCTA